GCAAAATATTCACTCCTAATTGATATTTTTGTGTGAATTTATTTCAATGAAATTAATCCCTAAAAAGCCTGTGTGGAGCAGAGCACAGTAAAAAAGTGAGGCATCAAGAGTTGGTACTGCCTGCCCAGCTCTGCCTCTTCTCGCTGGAAACTGGACAGCAGACCCAGGTCTTAGACTCTGTACTTGTTAGTGCTCTCCTCTTCTTAAAAAAACAGGTGAGATAATTAAGAACTAATCCTTTGATACCATTAGGCTCATTTCCCTGGTTCTGGGGCATTTTTCTTCTTTTTTGTTTGCTTGTGTCCATCTTGGTGAAGGATGTGGCTCATAGTTCAGCAAGTCTGTTAGTACTGTCACTTGGTGCACATTATTAGTTGTTTGGCAGGGAACACTTACTCTGAAAAAACAAAGCAGGTGTAGAAAGTTAAGGGTGTGCTCTCCCTTTGAGCACAGTTCTGTGCACAGGTAGTGGGAGAAGGCTCTGGGTGTGAAGGAGAACCCACGCTTATGCCAGCAGCTGGGTCCCTTCTTGGGTGGTGACACGAGTGTTCACCACCGCTCTCACGCCCGGCTCTGCTTTCTCCGCAGCTCCGTCTCCCACTCGGTGCTGTCTGAGATGCAGGTGATTGAGCAGGAAACTCCAGTGAGTGCAAAATCCTCCCGCTCACAGTTGGACTTATTTGATGATGTTGGTACTTTCGCCTCTGGACCCCCAAAGTAAGACTTGTTGGGGTGAAAACTTGGCCATTATATTCCTCATCAGGTTCTCTGAGTCATTCCACTGTCTCCCTAGGTACAAGGACAACCCCTTTTCCTTGGGGGAAAGTTTTGCTTCCCGCTGGGATACAGATGCCACCTGGGGTATGGACAAGATGGAGGAGAAGGAGCCAGAAGTGACCATCTCAAGCATCCGGCCTATTTCAGAAAGGTGAGTGGTCTAGGGCAGCACTGTCCAGTAGAACTTTCCATGATGGAAGAGTTCTGTACCTGGACTGTGCGATGTTGTAGCCACTAGGTATGTGGCTACTGAGCCCTTAAAATGTGGCTAGTGTCACTAAGGAGCTACATTTTACATTTAAGTTTAAATAGTCACATGTGGCTAGTGGCTACGGGTCAGACAGTGCAGGAATCGGGCTTTGGTTTGAGCTGTGCTTATCGTCACGGAAGGTCGAGCAGCCTCTTGTTCAAGATCCATTTCTTTGGCAGGAGGGGTCTCTGATTTTATGCTTCAATCCTTACCTCCCAAGGGTTATGTGTCTTTGGCCCCATCTTATTTTATTTTCTTTTTTTAAATATATATATTTTATTGATTTTTTTACAGAGAGTAAGGGAGAAGGATAGAGAGTTAGAAACATCGATGAGAGAGAAACATCAATCAGCTGCCTCCTGCACACTTCCCACTGGGGGTGTGCCCGCAACCAAGGCACATGCCTCTGACTGGAATCGAACCTGGGACCCTTGAGTCCACAGGCCAACGCTCCATCCACTGAGCCAAATTGGTCAGGGCTTATTTTATTTTCTTAACAGTTTATTCCATCTTAATCTGGGCAGTATGTTTTATTAATAAATTATCTGCAATTCATCTCTTTGTAAAATGGGGACATAAGTAATGACTTCACAGGGCCACTGAAAGGATTAAATGTAATGAAACTTGAAACACCTATCCAGCATCTGTGCATGTCAGTGCTGAGTAGGAGTGACCATACACCTTGTCATCCACACTGGGATGCTTTTTGAGAGTAAGAGGGGGTGCTGTTAATAGTTATGCCAGGAGAGTAAGTATAAATCCAGGCCAACTGAAACATGGTCACCAGTGTCGGGCAGTTGTACCTAGGAGGAGAGTGGCAGTAGTGACATTAAGACACCCCTAGACCTTGACGAAGCTGTCGTGGTTGGGGCAGAAGCCTTGTCCCCTCCAGACCACACTTGCACGCCACCTAGTGGAGTTAAGAGCAGCTCTCTGTGCCTTGGCTTCAATGTGGAGAAGGGAGGGGCCTTATCCAGGGGAGAGGGCCCCTCAGTTCCAGAGCCAGTCAGATAGGGCCTTGGTAAGCACCCCCAGATTTGCCTCTGATCACAATGGGATAGTAACACCATCCCCTGACAGTAATGGGAAGGTTCAGAGATGGTGTTCCACATCCACTCTCAGAGTCACAAACCGGAAGGAAGTGGAGAGCCGGAGCTCAGGCCTCGAGTCCAGTGAAGCACGTCAGAAATTCGCAGGAGCCAAAGCCATCTCCTCTGACATGTTCTTTGGGCGGGAGGTGGATACTGAGGTGAGTAGAGTTGTCCACCCTGAGGCTAGAGGCAGCGGGTAGAAGCAAGACCTTCCTCCCTGTCACTAGTTTGGGCTTTAGCACTAGGGTGGCTGGCCTGTATGAGTTCTTGGGACTTCGGCAAAAAGATCCCCAGCCTTTTCTTCACCACAGTATGAAGCCAGGTCTCGGCTACAGCAGCTCTCGGGCAGTAGTGCCATCAGCTCTTCAGACCTCTTTGGGGACATGGATGGAGCTCATGGAACAGGTAGGGACCAGAGGTGTGGGTACCAAGTGAGTCCTGTGAGTAGAGGGGGAAGGGCTTCCTGCAGGCCTTGGGGTCACCCCTTTCCTTGCTTTTACAGGCAACGTATCTCTGGGGAATGTGCTCCCCACAGCTGACATTGCCCAGTTTAAGCAGGGTGTCAAGTCTGTGGCCGGGAAGATGGCAGTGCTGGCCAATGGTGTGATGAATTCTTTGCAGGTGAGGCGGGGCTCCTTGACTTGGAGTGGGAGAGGCCTGAAGAGTAGTGCTGGAGGCTGGCCTTCACCACATCCGGACACTGCCGCCGGGTAGCCCCTCAGCCTGAGGGAGAGCTTTTCCTTTTCCTGGAGGGCAGCTGCACTGATTTCCCCCGTCTTATCACCTGCACTACTTTCTCCTTTCTCAGCTTCTGTGAGATTGGGCAGGGCTTCCCCCTTGGGATCTGGCCACAGCCCCTTTCCCGAGTCACAAAAAATAAAACAATCTCTGCCATGGTGAGATTGGTGCCCGTTTCCCCCACACCCCCAGTCCCAGTCCTGTCCGGTGTGCTGCGGGAGGGTGTGCGTGCTGGGTTGGAGGTGCTGACTTAGTTTTTTCTTCCCCCATTTCCAGGATCGCTATGGTTCCTACTGACCCAAACTCCATGGCGCAGGCATATGGTGGTGACAGCAGCAAAAACCTCATGATTACCAGGCCAGGGCTGCTTGCCTTGTGGTTGGGGAGGAATTGTTACTTTATGTGTGGTATGAGTGGGGTGGCCTTTGAGGACCTCTGGTGAGGGGATGGGCAGAACCAGCCCTTGGCCTCTGCCTATAGATGGAGCCCTTTTTCCTTCTCCCTCACACCCTCTCTCCTGTGTGCTAGGTTATTGTCCTTCAGTCCTGCTCCCAAAGCTGCTGCTCACTTGTCCTGCCATGCTGGGAGGGAGGGAGGGCATCTCCTCAGGATGGCTTATTCTGGGCCCAGCCCTTCTCTGATAGGGAAAGGGAGAAGTTTAAGGCTTTTTGGCTGGCTCTAGGATCCTTCCAGGTTGTCTGGGGGTTTGGTCCCTGACCTCTGGAACCGGCGGGGACGTCTAGGAAGAGTTCTGCTATAGACCAGCCCCCAGAGGAGGGAGGCTCTGGACTTGCTGCTGCTGTTGCTGCTGCATTGGCCTCTTCTGGGCCCCAGGAGAGGGCAAGGGAGACGAAGGACCTTCGTCTGGGCCTTACTAAGGGCTAGAAACTTGACCCGGTACCTAAAGGTGTCATTTGGGATCAGACTGGAGGCCAGAGTGATGATCTGTCCCACCACCCCTTTCTATAGTGGTCTTTGGGAAGGTTACTTTTCCTGGGTGTGTTGGAGTCCTTTATTGTCCACGTGGACTACAGGACCCGTCCCCTCGAGACTCTGTTCTTTTCCCCGCTTGGTGGCCGTGGCGAGTCTCATCTGCACTGTGGTGTCCTGCTTTGGATGCAGAGGACGTGGAGATGGAAGCAGGCTGCTGGGGCTCAGCTTTCTTCCTCTACATCATCCTGGGCTTAGGGGGGCCTGGACAGCACCCCACCAGTGAGAGCACGAGGTGCCTACAGAGCTGTAAGCCTCGCCCCCTGGTCACTGGGCCATGCACTGTATCATTCTTGGTGCCATCTTCCCTTGCCATGCTGGCAGTGTAGGCCCACTGCACCCTCTGTGGGTTGAGGGTAAGGCTCCCAAGCAACATAGACCACTTCCCACCACCCTCTCCCCCAAAGGGACTGGAGTTTCTTTCTGGACTGTTTGTATTGAAACATAGTGGTGTCAAATAAAGCCCCAGCAGGGCCCTGGGCCCGTTGGTCTGAGTGAAGTGGTGTCCTCGCTGGATCCTGCCCCCCTGCCCAATGCAGGCCCCTCGCCTCACTGTCTGGGCTCCCACCGATATGGGTAGGGCGTCCGTGCCGAAGCTGAGGGCACTTTCTCCAGGGCCTCCAGCTTGTCTCTTCTCTGAAAGCCAAAGGCCCCTGGCTTCTCGGCCCTGTGCTGCCTCGAGGTCCGGTGCAGCCTCGACCTCACCACCCTGTTGCACGCGGAGGAAAGAGCTGGTGTTAGTTGGCCCCGGGGCTGGGGGCAGGCGAGCACCCTCAGCAGCCTTGCACCTCATCCCAACAGTAGGCTTGATGAGGTGTTTCTCAGTGGAGTTTAATAAAATATACAAACCTTAATGGAATCCTTTTAAATCCAGGAAGAAAGGATGTGTGTGTATAAGCCCCTGGTTTAGTAACCCTCTTCCCCTATAGGGGCTCTCAGAACATCTCTACCATCTTAGGGGTCCGCAGAGTAGTTAAACCACTAGTCTGGAAGATGGATTGTTAGAAGGGATGGGTGGAGGGAGCAATGGGATCTCTACTAAGCCAGTGACTTCCAAACCATGGATCCGGGACTTTCAGCTTTGGAACGGTTTGGAGTGTTCATAATCACAGACTTGTGCCCCACCCCAAGCTGGAGTTGAGTAATTTGCATTGTAAACAAACTCCCCAGGTGATTCCCATGCATACAGGACTTTCCAGATGCTTTTAACTAGTTGAAGGCTGGATATGGTTGTGGGCCTGGAGAGCTCTCACGGTCCTAGAGCTTCCGTAGCTCTGGATCCTCTAGTCCTTGGCCCTACCGGGCTTTAGGGGCCAGTTCCTGTTAACTCCAGGGAGGTTACAGTATGTGCCAGGAAAATGTGTGCGCTCAGTCGTGGAACCTTTGGCTTCGGTTCAGAGGAGGCATCCTGCTCTGCTCGGTGCCCTGGGTGGGTTTTGCTTTCTGGAGGACCCCTGCCCTCCTTCAGCCTTGGCTGGAGGATTGTACTCCTCAGGCCTGTGTCCACAGCTGCATCCCCACTGCCCTAACCCTGAGCAGGTGCTTGGCAAATGTTTAATGAAACTCTGGCTAGAAGGCTCTGCAGTGCTGACCCTTGGTGGCCAGGGCCTTTAACATTATGGGAACCTGGCCTTGAACCCTCAGAGCATGTTCCCTGGAGACCCATTCCGGCTAGGAGAACCTTTCCTTTGAAAGGCTGTCATGGGCAAGAGGTAAGCCCCTCTGTTCATTATCTGAGGGAGTTCTCCAGGCTGAGTGGTCCTCTGGCCGCCACCTCCTGGAAAAGCTGAGATGCTGGCACCAAAACTCCAAAATCACCCCTTTCCTTCACCCCCCTCCTTCAGTCTAGTGAGTTTAGACTCACCACTTAGCAGACACAAGGGACTTTATTCATTTCATGTTTAGCTAATTGACAAAGGAGGCTTGAAGCAGTGTTTGAAAGTGAAATGGTCTTGCCCACCCTTCGTCCCATCATGCTAGTGGCTCTTTCTCCAGTAGAAGGCCACTGTGATCCTGTCCTCCCATACTGGCATCACCGGTGCCACCCCTGACCATGCAAGGCCCTGTGTGGCTATTCATGGTCTTCTCCTTTCCTGGAGTTGCTGTGAGATGAACCTTCTATGGGGCCAAGTCCCTTCCTGGTGACCTCAGTTCAATCTGCCATTAGCTTGGCGCCTGGGACAGGGAGAGTAAGCTAACTTTCTTGAATCACTGCTTGGGTTGGCTGATATCAGAACCCCTGGCAGGTCTTGGACTGGGGCTGTTATTTGGCCTTTCCACCAGCAGAGGGCAGCATGGCACATGGACAGGAGGAGTTGGGTGGGAGTAGGAGTTGGGTACAGGGTGTTGTAGGCAGGACCCTTCAGACTCCTTAAATCTCGGACTCGTCTGTCTCTTCAGTGGAGCCATCGCTCTCTGCATCCACTTTGCGGGCGTGATGGAGGGGTCTCCAGGAAAAGCCAGCCCGGTGAGGGGTCCGGGAAGGCAGGCAGCTGGCCTCTGGACTGGCACTGACTGAGTTGACCAGGTCTGGGATCTGGGCCAGCCTGAAGAAGGAAAGAAGCCCAGAGGGCAGCAAGGTGCCTCCTGTCCAGAGACCAGGACCTCCACACACTTGCATTTGGATGAAACCAAGGGCTATATCCCCAAGGGATTCAAGGGGACGATACCTCAGGCCTCTGTTGGCCCCTAAGCTCTTCCCTGACTGATGGGGATGTTATAGATGAGCACTATGACCCACAATGGGGCACTGCCATGTCTGATTGAGGTTTGCCCCCATAAGGGGGCAGCACCTTCCCACCTGACACTTACAGACGGTCCAGTTCCTCATCCATGGCTGGGTCATGCATCAGGTCCCCTTTGTCAGGCAAAGCTCCTAGGAAATAATGGGGGGAGAGGGGGTCATAAAACTCAATCAGACTCCTGTCAGATGCCACTGTGCCCCCACCTTCATATCTGCTGATCTACAATCTGGGAAAGAGCTTTACAGAGAAGTTTAAGAGGACTGCTATCAGGGCAGGGAATCTTGGGTACTGATGGATAAATTTAATGTTTATAATGTTTAATAGCCCTGCTGCCTACCTCCCCCTCCCTCCCCCCCCCACCGGGGCAGTGACTACAGCTAAGGAGACATCCCCAAACCTCAGGTCACTGCACAAATAGTGATCCCCTTCCAAGACGAGATGGTGGGTTGTGAGCTGGCCTTCTTCGAGGCCCCCCAGTATTTGGCTAAAAAGCCAGGGATACAGGATATGGCTCAGGCTAACCACAAAGACCAGAAATTAGATTTGTGCCCCCAAATGAGGGTGACCCCACTTTGAAGACTGGTAAAAAAGGTTGCCTCAGCTCCTCCAGGGGGGTTCCCACGGGTCAGGAGCAGACCAAACTGGCATGGCCGGAGCCAGCTGGAGAGCTGTCCCATCTTTGCTGTCACCCATTGCTCTCAGCTGGTTTCCTCAGCTATAAACCAGGGGAAACAATTCTTTGACCTTGGGGAAAGGTGAGAAGAGAGTCTTGGATGCTCTCCAGAGCTGGGAAGGAAGGTGGAGCTAAAGTTTGCAGATAAAAGGACTCTCACCAGCAAATTGTTTAGGGAAAAGAGCTCATTGGTAGAACCCAGATCTGGCAATTAACAATGCTGGTCTATAGAAAGCCTCAATCTTAAAATTACCTACCTGGCTCCAGTTCAATTCCCATCTTTGCCAAAGCCTTTTCACATGATGCCTCCTGGTCCCTTTTGCTCTAAGTGGTTTTCAAACTATGTCCCCCAGAGCCCTCTCTCATTTTGTGGTGTGGTGGGTGCCTTGACGACCAAGGGAACAAACAGGCTGAGCCCTGGGTGCAGCCAGAACTCCAGATCGCTCTCATGCCCGGGAGAAACAGGTGAGGGCAGAGACTACATGCTTCTTCCCATCTCCCACTCCACCAGCATTAGTGCTCCGTGGAAGTGGTTGACTGAATGACTGTCCTTTTTAAAGGCCCTAGAAATAGCGAGGGCATGTGGTTGGTCCAAGCTGTGATGCAGATGCTCCTTAGCTTTCCCTTTTCCTTCCCAGTGGCTGTGACTGGTGGAGGGTCTGGGAGGATGGTCTGTTACCCAGGAGTGTGAAAGAGGCCTAAGCAAACCCCCACCAGTCACTTCCAGCTGGTGGCCTTGGCCACCAACCTCACTGGGCTGAGGTGTCCCCAGACCTGTGCATGCCCCAAGCACTGACTCAGAATAATGGCTGTCAGGTGGCATCATGGCTGAGTGGGCCCTCAGTCAGTATTTACAGAGCACCCTAGCAGGATCTAGATTGTTTAAGATCTAAAGCATCTAGCCCAGTATTGGCCTACTGTGGCTGGCATTTAACGGATGTTAAATTTCCTTCCCTTGACCCTGTCCCCTCAACTGGCAGAAGGAAGGGGAATTCGGAGTGGAGTGTCTCTTTGGGACTCAGGAATGGGGGATTCCCAGCACACCGGGGTCCTCTCAGAGAGAGACAAATAAAAACCCCTTGCCCGGCTGGCATGGCTCAGGGGTTGAATGTCGACCTAGGAAGCAGGAGGTCATGGTTCAATTCCTGGTCAGGGCACATGCCAGGGTTGTGCGCTTGATCCCCAGTAGGGGGTGTGCAGGAGGCAGCTGATCAATGATTCTCATCATTGATGCTTCTATCTCTCCCTCTCTCTAAAAATTAATAAAAATATATTAAAAAAATAAAAATATATTTTTAAAAAAAGAACCCCTCAAGCTCTGCTGAATGGTGACCTGGAGGGCAAAGGGTGTGGGAGAGGAGCAGGGGAGGGGGGGAGGGGGGAGGGGAGTGTTGAGAAGGCCAGCCAGTGACAATAAAATGGTGGCCAGAAAAGACTGGGCCAGTGCAGGCCCCTCCCCTCCGTTTGCTCTTTTTCAAATGAATCAGATTCTTTTCCTCACTGGGAAAAGGCCTCCCCAGATACACCTTTGCCCTTGATATGTAATCATCCAGTGCTCCTGAGTAAACAGCGTTATGTCTGCCAGGCCTCTCCCTAAATAGAACTGGGGGTTCTCTGGGGAGAACTGGGCTGCATGGAGGGGTCTTCATGTTGGGGCAGGGCTGCGGGCAGGGAAGGCCGTCCCTCCCCATGGGAGTGCGAGAGGTCTGGGAGGGCACAGTCTTGTGTTGTGCATATCCTGGCTTCCTGGGCCTCAGAGTCTGGCCCTGAGAAGTCAAGGCAGAGGTGGTGATGCCCCTCCTCCTGGGACCAGTCGGCCAGTGGGGGCCAGTTCCTCTGGGGCTTTGTACTGTGCGGCCACAAGAGGCTGTGGCCACAGCCAGCGCTGGCTTACCTAGGGCTTGGCTGATTCCACGATGCTTGGAGAGAGCCACAAGGAACCCGTAGAAGGTCAGTCTCTGAACGTTGCTTAGGACCTCTTTGACAAGTGCTGGGGGTGGGCAGCTGGAAGAGGGAATACATGCCGGATTCAAAGACGAGCCAGTCTGTGTGGCATCCCTTCATCCACACCTTCAGGCTTGGGAAGGGCCTGAGTGTCCTGGGGCCCCTAGGACCCTGGGGGAGCCTGGCAGATGGCCAGGAGCAGGGAGTAAGGCCTTGACTGTGAACATGAAGGTCATGTCACCATTTGGTGCTTTTACTGGGAGCCGGGGCGGGGGCGGTGGGGGGAGTGGGAAGGGGATGGAGACATTGCAATAGGTAACAACAGCCTCTTCTAGAAAGAAACCAAAAGTGGCTGTGCTGTCTCCAGGGGACTGTGAACCACACAGGACAGCTTTGCCCTCCCTTCCTGTACCGTGAATTTGTTACACAGCGCATATGTTTCCTTCTCTCTAAAACGTCAAGGCCAGTCTACGTCCCAGGAAGAGAAGGGGGCCAGGCTGGTCGTCTGCGGTGGCCTTGCCCAAATGAAAGCAGACCTCCCTAAGAGAGCGCCTGGTCGGGGGGCAGATGGCACGGTTCTAACTTACACTGTGCCCATCAGGACCCTAGAAGCCCTGGACCAACGGAACAGCCTGATGGAGGTCTGTCCCAGGGCCAGTGGCCCACATTCCCTGGCACCCACCAGTGGTGGTGGGGGTGTCTACGTGGACATTTCTACCTGTACTTGTGCCGGTCACACAGGCTCTCCAGGCGCTGGTAGAAGAGCGATGCCTCGACCCCCTCCAGCATGCTGGCCTCACCCAAGACGGGCCGCTGGCGGTGCTGCCCACTGGACGATGTTGGCACAATCACTGTGTTGGGGTTCTTGCCTGACAGTAGGTCCTGGTAGATGGCAGCCACACTCTCCAGGAATTCTGGGTACCGTGGAAGAAGGAGACACAGGTCAGGCAGGGAGGACATCCTTCATCCTGTCACTGTGTCCCCTTCTGTTAGCTCCACGTGAGTGTCAGTGCTCAGGGCATGGCGTGACCACCACACTCAGGCGAGGTGACACTCATGTGTGTTCAGTTCAAATGTCCCCTCTTCTGGGCACCAGGTGAGGTTCCCCCATCACATACTCACACACCCTGTGTTCCTCGTAGCATTGTCAGTGATGAGTTTTCTGAGTAATTGCTTGTGGACTCTGTCTCCTTGCTGGCACGGGAGCTCCTCAAACAAAGGCAGGCACCATACATGCCTTGTCAACCCCCTATCCTGGCACCTGGCTCTGGGCCTGGCATATATTGAATGGCTGTAAATGTTTTTGTGAAAAGTGAAGGTGTGCATGCTCCCACTGGTAAGCCCCACCTTCTGAGGCCACCTGCCTCTGTGACTCAAGAATGCACCTTGGAATACCAGCATGGGAGAGAAAGCCCGCAAGCTGTGAATTTTTTCAACATTTGAAACTGGTTTTGAATTTTAGTAATCAAGCCGTCGTCAGTGAGCAGTGACTGACGCACGCGCTGTGCAGTCGTGATGCTGGGCCCACGCTGCTGCGAGAAGAGGGCCTGGCAGGTGGCGAGGGAAAGGCTCTCACAAGCATGGCTGCTCCTTCCCCCTCCAGGGCCCAAGAGCTTTAGAAAAATGGGGAGTAAATGCCTGGAGCTGCGAAGAGCAGGTGGGGAGACCCCAGGCTCCAGGCCCTGCCTGACAATGTGACGCCGAGTGAGGCCAGGGCTGGCTGGGGCCACCCGTTGGCAGGAAGGCCATGTCCAGGCTCCAAAGACAGCCTTCTGTTTACTGGAAGAGCTCGTTTTAAATAAGTTTGCTTATGGGCATAGTCAGCAATTTCTAAACCCAACGTTCCATTTGATGTTGTGTGTGAGCTGCTGTGCATTTGTATTTGTTGGTCTATTTTCATTCCACCTGATTCCAGAAGGGATTTAAGGGCACAGCTGGTGCGTCTGGGGAGCAGGTGGGACCCAGGACTGGTTTGCACTTACTTAAAGCTGGGTGGGAACTTGTGTGCCCACACATAGGGGTCAGGGCCCCGGGGTGGTGCTGCATGGCCATGGTTCAGCGAGTGCCTGAGAGCGCCAGCTGGGAGTGAGCCCTCTGTCCAAGTGTGGGCTCCAGCACTTCGTAGCTCTGCAGCTTTGGCTACTTGCCTCTGTGAGCTTGGCTCTTCAAGGACCTAGCTCTCAGGGCTGTTGTAAGGGTTAAAGTCCTTAGTGCTATGTCCGGCACAGTGAGTTTTTTATAAGCAGTGAATTTATCAGGTATTGTCACTATGGTGTGTGTTGTTGTCATTGTCATTTTCAGCAATGTCATTGCACTGCTGACTGAGGTGTCTGTGTCTTGAGGACGCTGAGAAAGCAGGTTTTGCATAGTGACTCCTGTTACCCCCCGCGACGAGAACTAGCCATCCTGTAGTGACCGGGGTGAAGCACACCACGAAGGAAGCGCGGCACAGAAATGGGCACGCGATGGAGTCATGGAGTGGGCAGCCGGGCGGGAGAGGGAGAGGAGGTCTGACGGGGCCACAGGGGTCCTGGGAGACTCTCACCTGAGTAGTAAAACTGGATCTGGAAGGCCAAGAGGAAATCTGAAAAAGACATCAAGCAGTCCATGGCATCATCCATGAGCACAATCCTGAGGGGGAAAGAGAGAGAAATGTGAGTGTGTGTGTATGTGTGTGTGTGTGAGAGAGAGAGAGAGCGCCATTCCTGGGGTCTAGTCTCCCTTGGGGTAGCAAGACGTTGGGAGAGGGCTCCCCAAAACAAGCTCCTCCCAATCACCTCACTTCTTCATCAGTTGGGCTCTGCTACCAAACTAAGCTGACCACACTACCAAGGGCAGGCTCCCCGTTCAGTCTCCGTGGCACCAGCTAGTGGATGGGGCCTGAGAAGGGAAGGGGGGCAGGGGGCGGGCAGCCAGGAGAGGGTGCGATTGTACTGCAGCCAAGATTTCTTTTCATATACTTGAGCAGTAAATCCTTTCATCCTGCAGTGAGGACCGTTTAGTCAGAATAAATACAGCTGATTGGAAAAGGCAAAAGGAACAGCCAAGAGGTTTAAAGGGGTCTTGGCAAGTGGTGCTGAGATTTAATAAGCTCCCCAGGGCCGGAGAGCTCCAGAACCTCCATCCGGGGACACGGAGGGCAGACAAGGGAAGCGGGCCCAGAGTTGCTGGGGACTCTGCACTTGAGAGGGTCAGAGCACAACCTGTCTCCTGACAGGGTGGCCACTGCTCCTGTTTGCTGTCCTCTCACAGGTGGACCCTCTCCTGGTGTTTCCTCTCTGTAGTTCCTCCCACTGCACACCCCCTTCCCAGGGAAAAAACCACGTGACTATTAAGGGCTCAGACCCAGGCCATATTCATACTCTGCTCAGGCCCCAGCAGAGAGAGGACAGGAAAGGAAGGATATGAGCACTCGCTGGGCTCCTTCCATGTGCCAGGCAGGGTGCCAAACTCATCTACTGAAAGGGACCTGGGACCCCAATCTGTTTCTGACTGGGCCCCTCTGGCTTTATTTTTACAGTAAAAAAGTTTTATTTTGATCTCTTGTGTATTTTTGTTTGTTTAAAATGTACTTTTATTGATTTCAGAGAGGAAGGGAGAGGGGGAGAGAGATGAAAACATCAATGAGAGAGAATCACTGATCAGCTGCCACCTGCACACCCTCTACTGGGGACTGAACTCGAAACCTGGGCATGTGCCCTGACCAGAAATTGATCCTCGACCTTCTGCTTCATAGGTTGATGCTCAACCACTGAGCCACACTGATCGAGCTCTCGTGTATTTTTCTAAATCTCTCTGGACCTCCCACTGTCAGCGGGTCCCTAAACTGGCATCTGCATCAGCTGCAGAGGGAGCCAGCACTGCTGACCTCGGGGAAGGGGCTTTAGAGAGAAGATAATGTGAGGGTGCCCCTGGAGTCTTTTAAGGCAGGTGGTTCTGGTTTCAGATCTCCCTGAAGAGTGAAAATGGTTCCTACACCTAGTCTGTAGTTGTAGTAATGATCACAATAGAAACCGGTATCCCACTTACTTCATGGCAGGCACTGAGTCATTAAATCTTATCCCACAACAGTGAGGTAGGTGGTCATCATTTCCACTTTACAGTGAACAGACTAAGTCTCAGAGAAGTTCACCTGCTAAGTCACAAAGCTGGTGAGTTTGCTCGACGCCACAGGCCGCGCACTTTCCATTAGCTCACACTGCCTCTTTCACATGGAGTATAAACACTAACCTTTACTTCTTAGTTCCTGCGGCTAAGTTGTCTTCTTTCTTTTCACCTACATGTGAAGGCCAAACTGTTTTTCATGTATCTCTTCGGGAAGAAAAACATTGCCCAACCACCAGAGTTGAACATTCAAATTCTAGCTGGGAAAAATGCAAGGCCAGAAGGTGGGAAGAAGCAATGCTGCTGATGGCCACAGGAGGGCACCCTGGTCCCTCCATCAGTGGCTTCTGGGACAAGTCCTGAGCCATAGCCAAGCAGTCACCCCATTTCTCATAAGCTGTGGATAACCCAGGCACGCAAAAAGGAACAGAGAGGGCACAAAGCCCAGATTCCAACTGGATGAGGAGGGAGAGGCAAGAGAGGTAGAGAGAGGGCCGGTAGGGCGGACGGGTCGGCGGAGACTCCCACACTACGGAGGAAGGGTGAGCTCTCCCAGAATGCTCAGGGAGGAAGAACCACCAGCACCTCAGAGCTTCCCCTCCCAGGCTCAGCGGAGAAGAAAGGTCCCAGAGGAGGCAGCGTGTGACCTTTCCTTCCTGCCCTGCTCCCAGGACAGCTGAGGACCCGAACGGCCTGCAGTTAATGACTAAGGAAGAGCGCAGGCTGGGAACATCGCAGCAGGAAACCGCGGAGGGGAGCCAAAGCCTCTGAAGACGCCCCTTGGCCTCTCTTGTTTATCATCAACCTGGACCCAGGGCTCCTGTTTATAGCACTGACCTCTGTTTACTACTTCCTACTTCATCCGTTGGTTCATTTATTTATATTGTAATACAATTCAAATACCGCAAGATTCACCCTTTGAAAGTATACATTGCGTTTTAGTACATTCACAAAGTTGTGCGGCCATCACCACGGTCTCACTCCAGAAGGGGTCGTTCTCGCCAACCAGCATGCACCGGGATAAGCCCTGCCCCACCCGGCTTCTAAGGCAGTTCCACAGCATCTTCCTCCCGCAGCCTCAGACGGGACTAGAAGCTGCAAACGGCCTGCCCTTCCAGCCCAGAACTGGCATGAAGCTTCTGTCAGGGACTGTTCTCGACCGCAACATTAGCACTCTCTTTTAAGATGGGCAGCTGGGGAGGAACAAGAGCACAGCTGGCAGAGGCAGGAGACCCACCGGGTAATGGTGGCAGTCTCTCTGAGCGGGAAGGGGTCTTGGCCCTTGCTCCTTGGTGGCTGAAACAGCAGTCAGGCGGGACCAGCAGGCTAACTGGGAAGGTGACAGTGGCAGGGTGTTTCTTTCTGAGGGACCTGTGGCTGGGTCCCAGCAGCATGTGTGAAAGGGATGAAGGGGTTTTCTTCTCTCTTTTTTATATTTTTACTAGAGGCCCAGTGCACAAAATTGGCACATGGGTAGGGTCCCTAGGCCTGGCCGGCGATCAGGACTGATCGGGGCCTTCTGGCTGCTGGCTACGGCCTTCCTTCCCCAGCTGCTGGCTGGGGCCTTCCTTCATTCCGCCCCACCCCCTGGTGGTCAGCGCACATCATAGTGAGCGATTGAACTCCCGGTCTCCCGGTCGAACTCCTGTGGGGACAATTTGCATATTAGGCTTTTATGTGTATAGATTGATTTCAGAGAGGAAGAGAGAGGGAGAAAGAAACATCAATGTTGAGAGAGAATCATTGATTGGCTGCCTCCTGCACTCTCCACGCTGGGGATTGAGCCTACAACCGGGCATGTGCCCTTGACTGCCTGCAATCAAACCACGGACCCTTCGGTCCGCAGGCCAATGCTCTATCCACTGAGCCAAACCTGCTAGGGCTGAAGGGTTTTTCTTGATTGCAAGCAGTGAGACTGGCTGCCAGAAAAGCCAACTGGATCTCAGCTTTTATTAACAGCAATACCACTCATTACCCTGCTCAGCCAGAAGCCTGGGAGTCCTGGAAACTCCCTGTCTTGCCCACCCACATCTATCAGTCAATCAGTCCTGTCAGTCCTACCCCTGACATTTCTCTAGCTTCCTCCACGGCCACCGTCTGACGCCCACCGCCACCTCTTTTTCCTGGACAACTGGATGACCTCCCTCCCTGTTTCCTGCGATCATTCTTGCCTCCTTCTAATTGAGTATCCAGTGCTCGCTTTGGCAGCACATATACTAATTGAGTATCCATACTGGGGTGAGAAAGATCTTTTTAAAGACACAAATTTGACCATTTTACAACTGTTTAAAAATCTTCATGGGCTTTCCATTGCCCTTAGAACAGAGTTCCCCATTCTTCTCCACATGTTCTCCCCTCGGCCTCCCTCTCCTCTCCAGGCTCCTGAGGTCACTGGCAGTGACCTCACTACCCTCCAGGGGCACTGATCCTTCATTCTTCCCAGTGCTCCTCCTTCCTCAGGCCCTTCAGATCAGCCAGGGCCTCCACCTATAATGCTCCCCACCCTCCAGGCCCCTCCCCTCACCTACCTGCCGCCTGCCCATTCTTCAGGTTGCAGCCTACACAGCACCTCTCTGGGGGACCTTCCTTATGCCCGACTAGGGTAGGCCTCCCCAGCTCTTTGCTACCTCCTCACTGTTCACCAGGTGACACTGCTGTCTCTGTCGCTTGGCTCCAGAACGGCACAGGGTACATAGCAGTCATTCAGCAAATATTTGTTGAATGAAGGCAAGCATGAAAAAATGAGTAAGAGGCCATAGAACCCTTTCTTCTCCCCTGGCCAGGTGACACCTGGACACTATATCCAGCTGTGGACAGTCCAGTCCATTTAGGAGGAATGAACTAGCGTCTGCAGACCACGGTATCAGACAATGACTGCACTGAGACCCTGTGCTTGGGAGAGAAGGAGGAGGAGTGAGGGCTGAGACCTGACCTGTGAAGGGCTGCCTCTGAGGGGGTTTGGCTCTAGAAGACTTTTTAAGCCTCTCAGCTCTGGGATTGTGGCTGCTTTGTGGAGTGAGCTTCTTGTTGCTGGAGAAATTCAAGCAGAAGCCTGACAAGGTTGCACTCCTCACAAGTATGAAAGAGCTTCTGCGGCTCACAGTGTCGTCCCCAGTGCAGACAGAACTGACAGCGGCTCCTGTTAGTGCTGGTTCTGCTGGGGAAGAGGCCGCTGTCTGGAGGGCTGGCGGCAGAGGGGTCTGAGAGGCTCACAGACACATCATAAGCTGTGCTGTCCATCTCCACATCAGTGCTCTGACCCATGAAGGTCCTGGGCATCTGGCACTGGGTCTTGGCAGACTGTGGGGAAAGCAGGAGGAGCTCTACAGGCCTGTCTTGGCCTTCGGGACACGGACCCCTATTCCAGACAGTGAGCTCCTTCCCCTGAACTTGAACTTGTCCCCAGCCCCGAGGTCTCCAGAAGGAATCTCTTGGAGAGGAGCTCATCCACATGTGCTGTTTTCCAGTTGATGGCAGTTGGCTCAACACCCCTTCCTGCCAGAGGCCTTCAGCTAACGTGCCAGCTG